TTGTGATGTTTTTTCTCCTCTTAGCGACCACATTTAGCCATTTTTCTGTTGGAATCATTTTCTAGCTTTTAATTGACCTAAATGAGCTCATTATATATATATACGTATATACGTACACACACACACACACACACACACACACACACACACACACACACACACATATATATATATATACACACATATATTATACATTATTATATATGGCAAGCACTTTCTCCAATGTGTCTTTGGTCTTTTCTATTTTATCTATGCAAAAATTTGCTTTCATAATGCTATGCTTATATTTCGATTATATGGAGTTTGAACTTCCTGATTATAGAGAGGATCATCTCCTTTGTTGTTCACTAATATTCTGAAAGATAAGACGATTCTTAATCTATAAGTGTATACATTATTATATATGGCAAGCACTTTCTCCAATGTGTCTTTGGTCTTTTCTATTTTATCTATGCAAAAATTTGCTTTCATAATGCTATGCTTATATTTCGATTATATGGAGTTTGAACTTCCTGATTATAGAGAGGATCATCTCCTTTGTTGTTCACTAATATTCTGAAAGATAAGACGATTCTTAATCTATAAGTGAGGAGCTCCAGGCTTACTGAAGGTAAGTAGTGACATGAGGTCTCATAGCGAGTGTTCGAATCCATCCAGGTCCCCACAGGAAAAAGATGGCAGGTTTGACATTTGAGGAGTGCTTAACAAAAGGACTATTTTCAAAGCTTGGAGACAATGTAGGAAAATCACAAAGAGTATTGTAGTTCCCCAGAACTGATGACAGTGGGTAAAACCATGATCACCCCAGGACCAGGATGGAGGAATGAAGGGAGGGACTAGTTGCTGGAACCTGGCGGGGAAGGAGCTGGTGAGGGAACTGACGAGGGGGTTGGGCCACCTAAGGAGGCTCTGGGGTAGACCTAGATCCCCGGCATCCCCGCTGCTCTGTGAGGAGCTGGGGAAACAAATACCTTTACCTCTTTTCTTAACCTCTAACAGACGCCTGGCTGATGTGTTCAGTGACTGAACTCTAGTGGAAGCCAAGGGCACAGCTGTCATTTGAGGTTTCGCTGGCAGAAAAAAAAAGTAATATTTAATTTCTTCTTATGACTTTACAGGAAATAAAATCTCCTGGCTCTTCAGGCTTGTGACAGAGGAAGAGGAGATCAATGATGCTCATTGGGCATATGTAAGACTCTCTAGTCAGTGTCATTACATGTGCAGGAAAACAAGGAGCTCAAAGTGAGGATGAAATTAGCTGACACTTAGTCTCTAGAATCGATGGTATGGTACGTTCAGGTCAGTGGGCCGGGTGGTGTTTAATGGCAGTGCCTGTGTCGCTGGAATTGTGACATGTTCCTCCCACCTGAGTCAGTTCATTTGAGAGAAAGTTGCTCATTACCAATTTTTATTTCACAGTAGGGCCACAGGAAATTGGTCATTCGAAGGTAAATCTTGGAGCTTATTCTAAGTTTTTTTTAAAAAAAAAGGGGGGGAGAGAGAATGGCAGAAATCAGATACTAGGATATGGGCATAATCTAGAGAAAGAAAAGTTTGAATGATAGAATCCAGCCATGCCAACCTCCCCTCAGATTCTGAAAACCTCTCTCTGGCTCTGAGACTTGTGTCCTGGGTGAATTTGTGCAGGGAGAAGCACGAAGCAGAAAGACATTTTAGGAGACTTTGAAATTAGTCCAATGAGAGAGAGAATCTTGCCCTAGGAGCAGGAGAGGAAATAAAATAAGATAGAGTCGAGAATCATTAAAAAGAATCAATGTTTAGAACTTAGAAAAGAAAACTAAGGTAAAAGGAAGAGTGATATTATCTGAAATTTTAGGCTTTCGCGATGGGGAATAATGGCACATTAAACAGGATGGTGACATCTCCAAGATGTCCTTAGGAGCTGAGGGGAAGAAAGATAATGGGTCCCGTTTACAGACTCTTAAGTCAAGATGGTTGTGAATAACGTTTGTAGAAGCATCTTTCAGGAAGCTGGACAGACTGGCTGTTTGGATACTGGAGATGCAGATACACGAAGACCTATTTTTTTTTCACAGAGTTGATAGTTACAATCTTGACAGTGTGGAGAGTAAGCTTGATTTTGAAGAGAAAGAGGCTGAGGATAGAACCTTGGAAAAACTCATTCATTTGAGAAACACGTAAACATACCTCACCAAGGGATGGGTACACAGCTAAGCATTAGAAAAATCTACATTTCTTAAATGTAGGGTCAGGAGGGGGATCTGGCACACAGGTTAGGGAAACGCCAGAGGAACAGACACGGCTGTGGGATGGCTGTCTGGGTGAAGAGAGTTATCTTTCAAGGGTCTGGCTCGTTTCATCTAAGTTATCAAACTTGCGGGTAAAAAGTCGTTCTTAATATTCTTTTGTTTTCCTTTTAACATCTGTTGGGTCTGTAGTTATGGCCCCTCTTCCATTTCTATTTTTTTTTTTCATTATTATTAGTTTCAGTATACAGCACAATGGTCAGGCAGGCATTTATATAAATTTATGAAGTGAGCCCCCTCTTCTGCTTCCGATATTAGTAATTTGTCTTTTTTTTTTTTTCACTTGTTCACCTAAATAGAGGCTTATAATTTTATTGATCTTTTTCAAGAAACAGCTTTTGGTTTCAGTGATTTTTCTCTATTGTTTTCCTGTTTTCATTTCATGGATTTCCACTCTAATTTTGAATATTTGTTTCCTTTGACTTACTTTGGGTTTAATTTGTTATTTTTCTAGTTTCCCAAGGTGGATGTTTACATTATTGATTTTTGATCTTTCTTCTTCTCTAATATGTGCACTTGATGTCATTTACATCCCTCTAAGCACTGTTTTTGCTGCATATCACACATTTTGACATATGTATACGTGGCATCAAATGCTGAATCTGGGGACATGACATTGGTGTAAATGTTGGCGCTGTGACTTCTTAACTCTATAGCTCCCCCTGCAACCACAATCATCACAGCCACACGTCCCAAACCACTGTCCCACCAGCCCCGGGTCAACCTCCAGACTGCTCACTGTGTGCCTAGCACTGGTACCTCGTTCTTGGTACCTCGTTCTTGACCCATACGTGTCTCGCCCTATCTCTTTACAGTAGATGTAATCGCATCCATTCTGCCTGCAGAAACGTACGCAAGACCATCGCTAATGGGACGCGGAAATGGGAACTGAAAGCATGTTTGACTCTCTGAAGAATGGATTACTTTGTGGTCGTTCGTTTGTTGGTAAAGTGGGGGTGATAACTGTGCTTCCGTTTTGCAGACCGCATGGCCGGACTCTCCGTCTCTGGACCCTGCCGCTCGTGTCTTCTCAAAGGTCTCAGTCTCTGGATCAACCACATGCTCCTCTCTCTTTGTAGAAGCAGCAGTGTTCGCCACATTCTCTCGAACATCGGTTCTCTCTCTCTCTCTCTCTCTCTCTCGGTCAGCCACATGCTCCTCTCTCTTTGTACAAGCAGCAGTGTTCGCCACATCCTCTCGAACATCTGCTCTCTCTCTCTCTCTTCCTCTTCACAGGCAAAGTCTCCAAAGAGCTGTTTCCACTTCTTCCATTCGCAATCTCTATCTACCTGAGCCAGAGAATATGGCTTTGCTTTGACCACATCATTTGCCACAGAGGCTCTTTTCTTTATGTCAGTGCTTAGTCTTCCGTGTTTATCGTGTTCGCTGCTGGTAGTTTTAGACACACGGGATGTTTTTTCTTATTCGACGCCATTCTTTTCCTTGACATTACGTCACAGCTGTTTCCTTCCCATTCTCCTTTTCTGGCTTCTGCCCTTGACCGACGTTGCTCAGGCTCTCGTGTCTCCCTAGTTATACCCATGTGTTGGGCGATCCTGTCCACTCTTATCATTAGTCATCAGCAATGTTTGACACTGCTTAGTCCCCACCCCTGCACTGTGCTGCCGCTCTGAGCTTCAGACCACACCAGGCGATGGCCAGGGGCCGTGTTTACTCGAATTCCTTAGGGGCATCTCA